AAAAAAAAAAAAAAAAAAGAAGAAAAAGGAAAAGTAGACAAAGGAAAAATTGTAATCCTCAGACGTTTCTCAATACCTGCTGATAATTAACAATTAGATTATGAGCTCGAGACTTCTATGAGGTGATAGTTGATGAGGCCAAAGGCCAAATCAACTATCGCCTCATAGAAATCAAGAGCTAATAATCTAATTGTTTTAGTAGAATTCTTACTATGATTAATGCAAATAACGGTTTACAATTATTTTTCAACGCATTATTGAACTTTACGCTTTACAAAATTGCACGTACATGCATTGAATTGTCCTGGGTAAATTTGCAGTTGTTTATGCACGAGTACCCGTTGTTTCAATAATAATTATTTCAAGTTTTTAAAGTCAAGAAACCGTTAATGTCCTTCTTTTCGTCTTCTTAGGAATTTGATTATCCATTTACATCTAAACTTTCTTCCAAAACATCAGAAAAACAATAAAAACGTCGCATTTCGTAGAAGACCGACAGCCACTGCACTCTAATGGCTGATAGTACACGAGTAGCTCAGCCAATCAGATTGCAGCATTTGCATTAGTATACTGGCAGAATTCTACTAATAACTATGAGGTAGTATTGCAGAATGTCTGAGGAATTATAATAATAATTATTATTATTAATAATCCTTTAAGAGGAAAATTACTGTAAGGAAACAAGAGGGAGGCCCTTCCTTTTCTTTAACCTGCTCTTGATTACCCTCTTTGCCCCAGTTTTCTGAGGGAATGGATAATGAATAAAGAATGGATAATTATAATTATACTGCAGATCCACTGAATAATGACAGTGTGTTTTTTTAATGGACAATGTAATCCACCTGTTCAAAATGTGAGTTCAGTTTGCACCATGCCCTCTACAGATGTGCAGATACTGTGTTTAATGCAAAATGTTTCAATCAAATCATAGTTATGCATACATGTACATGTATGTTGGGTTTCAATTTTACCTTTCCTTCTCCTAATGTGCCGTAATAATTTAAATATACTAAATAATGTATATATGAAACAAGGGAAAACATTAAATTGCAAGCACATGCAGAATCATTTGGGTTCATACGCTCACTGACAGATAATTATTATCACCTCCAGTATGAAATAACAAGCTTCTTCCCAACCGCATACTCTTCAACTCGAACATTGTCTCCCCATCGTTCAGTTATCAGTTGTTTAGCCTGAAATGTTGTATAGTGTTTCAACATGCAGCAATTAAAAGTACCAAAATAATAAATTCATATTTTGATGATAGATGCAGATGACACTGTCATTTATAATTACAGTAATGGCAAGTTACTTTCTAGCAACAATACTGGACAACAAAAAGAACTTGATTTGCACATACAATGATATTGCACATTCAACTAATTTCCAGGAAAAGTTACCACCAGTATGTTACATTATGTCACCCTTAAGTTGCAACATCACAAGAGCAACTGATGCAACTGACCTGAAAGTGAAGAACTTGCAACTGAAGAGAAAGACAAAATGAATCTACAAATGTTGTTAAGGGATTGCACAAAGAAAGAAAATTGAGAGTGATTCTTAGCAAAAGACAAGAATGTACGTAATGTACCAAGAGATTACTGCAAGTGGCTTAAATTTCCCCAAAATGTCTCTTCTTATTCCCCAAAATGGACAACCAAAGAACCTGTTCATTAAACCTTAGTTATCATAACGATTGTACTGTTCATATATGCATGTACCACGTACAGTGCACATTAATATTGTATGTAGACGTCTACAGACACTGTAGTTGTGTCTAAATAAAAAAAAATACCCATGGCAAAAACTTCAAGAAATATTATATAGATCATTGTCATTTGATGTCATCAAATTCCAAAATCCAAAACTAAAGAGCCACTAAAGTTTTTATCCTCATGAGGCATGAGAGGATCTAAATTAATTTTTATATCTGTGTACAACTTTCCAGCTCAATAGCATGCTTAGTCTGGAAACCAGGGTGTTGCACACTACTTTAATCATGCGAAAACAACAGTACTACTAAACTATGTTAACAAAACGGTTCTCCTGGACTGTCGTTTCTTACTATCTTGTTTTTCCTCGTGGGATCCTTTTTCTTAATCTCATAATAATCACTTAGGCTAGTCCCAGTTACTCTCGTCTTTTTAGTTAGTCCCAGTTACACTTGTCCTGCTTGCTACAAGGGCAGTTTGAAGTTCTGAGTTATGGTGGTGCATGACATACCGCTCCAATCGCGTTTGTGTAAAAATATACACTTGTATAGTGATTTTTAGTCTTTTTAAGGAGTTAAAGTGTTAGGAAAAGTGCTTGTGTAAAGATTTGTTGGTTCAGTTCAGATAATCAGTCACCTAGATAGCCAAAGTAAGTTCCAGATGTTTACACTATTTTCCTGCCGCCATGTTGCTGGAGAACAGAGCTCCACCAACATGGCAGCTCCATACTGGGCTCTGTAAATTTGCGCAAAGCATTTTGACGAATATCTGAAGTTTGGGCAAACACAGAGACCTAAAACGTGGAGAAATGTCTTCTTTACCTTTAGACCTCCTATAACATTACATTTTCTTGACTTTATTGACTGAATAGTTTTTGATTTATTTTTTCATTGCGTGTTAGTGAAAACCATCTATACTTGATACAACTTCTTGTAAGACTTACAGTAATATTGCATATATGACTACATAACTGCAAGTTATGAAAACAAAAAGAACACCAACAATAACAACAAATACATGTAGTCTCATAACTGCACTGCCCTTTACCTGAAAGAGCTGGTAAGTCCAGAACTCAGGAATTCCCATATTTTATTCAACTTCATAATCAATGACAGAAAAGTTGAGAGAAAAGAAAAGAAAAACAAAACTATAGATGGCTCTAAGTTCATGACGCCTTTTCTTTAAATAACTTTCAATTTGTTTATACACAATGTAAGAAATGTGGCAACAACAAAACAAAGGATACGCAAACACTTGTACAAATCAACCAGTGGACTCTCTTCAGCAAATAGTCGTGATTGCACAAGTTGATGAATGTATTGGACCTGTAGTGAAAACGTAATGTATTTGATTGTACAGACAGGTTTATGACATGCTGTACATTAGGTTATAAAATTTCAGCTGATAAAGATTCGGAGTACCAGTACAGGTAAAATTAACTCATTCAATTATTATTACTTGTGCAAGTTAACTGCCACCTTACCTGAAGGGCATGGACAAGTGACTTCCCATCTGTTAACAAAAAAACCACCAGTTTATTACAGTTTAGTTAAAACATAAAAAATAATGTTATCACTTTCACTTAACCCTTGAATGTACAAGCTAACTCATTCCCCCCACCCCCTCTTGGTTTTTGTTCTGTTAAGGCAGAGCAAAATAAATTTACATTGATTAGATAGCTCTGAGCTTGCTCTACAAGTTGATACCATTTTTGTTGGTAATGATGTCATTTGACCTGCCACCTTGGATCTGCCATCTTTGATTTCATTATTTTTTTTAAAAAAATCAAGAATGCTTGACTGCAGAATGTTTATGAAATATACAGATTCATGAATCTCTGTTATTTCATGAGGAAAACTGGAAGAATTACCTCAAAAAAAGCTAATTTTTGGTCAGACCTACATGGAATTTGATGGCTGGCAAAGTCAAAAATGATGGACACACAATAGACATGTCAAACTTTCCACAGAGAATGAAGAAACAGCTACTGAAAGTTTCAGCCCCTTAGGATAAATTGTCTTTTCAAAAGTTTGAAAAAACCTTATGGGGGGGTTCCCCATTCCTTGTACGTCTGAGGGTTAAACTGTATAATAATTATTGTCAAAAACTCTTCTTACAAAAACTTGAAGAAACTGACATCATGTATCAATTGAAACAGCATTCAAAGGTTACAAGTAAGCATTTTGTTGGAGACATTAGAGTGAAAATGTACCTCAGATGTGTACATGGTTACATGTACATGTACATAAAAAATCTGACTAAAGGCAGACAAGACCTTGGGGTTAGAGCAACAATGGCAGAGTGACGAGAGTGCTAGTCTCTCACCAATGTGGCCCAGGTTTAATTCCAGCCTGGTACATGTACCAAATGTGGCTTAAGAGTCTTGTTGGTGTTTAGTTGCCTTGCTCCAAGGGTGTTTTCCTACCTCCTGAAAGCAACACTTCCAAATTGTATTCCATCATGAAACTAGGCAAAGTTAATATTGCTTTCTCTCTAAATATAATTTACTGAACATTTATCTGTTTCTTCCTGCTTAAAAATAAAGAGAAAATAACAAAATAACCAAGTTATTGCTTTGCAATTTATCGGCAAATGTGCATGTACCTCCACTTTCCATATCCTGAACCAAGAAGTCAATGGATAAAACCCTCCACGGAATGGAAGCTTCATCGCCCATGAGAGTCAACATCACCTGTACAAGTTTTAGAAGGAAAACAAGAGTCCATAATGCAGTGAAGAAGTTCTTGATATCTGATTGATTAACTGATTGATTGGTTGATTGATTGATTGATTGATTGATTGATTGATTGACAGATTGATTGATTGACTGATTGATTGAATAACTTACTGAGTGACTGTCTGATTATCTGACTGACCATTTGACTGACTGACTGACTTACTGCAGGACTGACTGACTGACTGACCGACCGACCGACTGACCGACCGACCGACTGACTGACTGACTGAATGACTGATTATCCAACTGACCAACCAACTGACTGACTGACTGTTGAATTACTGACTGCTTGAATGTCCTTGCCTATTGATTTCAAGACAGAGATAAAGACTAAATAAATACAATACATAATAGTTGTATAATAGCATTTACCTCAAATTCATGTTCAACTCTGAACTTGACTCTTCCATCAGCTTTAAGAAAAGATACTGTCTCAGTCACACATTGTATGCAATGATCAACTTAAAAAGGCACTTTGTGAGATAACATTTCGAGTTCAGTAAAGTAAGTACAGCAAAATATTTGACTGTACATGTTGAGTTCAGGTAACAGTCAATTCTCTTACCAATAGCCATGTCTCCCATCTCAGGAGGAAGTTCAGAAGTCACCAATCTGTGTTGAATGACCTGATTTAGTCTCTGTAGTGTTTTTGTCTTTTCCACAGCAGTTATAGGGTCTGGAGGAACAATCTTGTCCTACATGAATCAAAATTAGAGGAAAGAAGAAAATTAAAAATTCCTGAAAATTTAATATGTCAGTATTGATAGGCAAATTCCAATCAACAGCAGAGGTCAATTCCAAGTGGTGTTTTACATGTACCTCTGTGACAAGACAAGCCTGTGCAAAATCATTCATATGGACAATAATATTAAACTTGCACTTTACCAGCAAACTCATTTTCATGCAAATAAAACTCAATGTGAAAAAAAAAACACCGAGACTTGTTTTGAAAAAAAGAAGAAGGTAAGTAGTGTGAAAATGGGCTGTACATGTATGGCTTTGAAAAGAAAAATTACAATTTATAATTAATTTACAGTTAATCATTTCTAGATGTGCTTGTTACCCTAATGCATGTTGGGAGTCTGGGGTAGGTTCCACCAGTAAGGACATCAACAGCAGCCGGCAGACAAAAAGTCGGTAATCTGTAAAACATAGGTGAATGTTCAGGTTTTTTTAATTAACAACATTGTCCTGTCTATTTCAATATCACCTAGCCCCAAGGATCTTCAATGCATTGAAATCAGAAACAAGCAGGACAGAAAGGAAAGCATCAGATTTAAAAAAAATGAACAACAACAGTTCAATAAAGAAAGTGATAAAATGATTGTAGAAAACAAGGGAAACTCTGCCACTCAAAAGGCAGTTACCACTCTCTCCTATGATAAGAGGAGACTCACTAGACAAGACTCTTGTATCGCGAGATGAGTCTTGTGCATCACCAGTAAGACTCGCGTACTACAAGATACAGTACAGTAAATTTACAATGTATGTGCCTTGGTTCTATAGTGTCTAATGCAATTGAACATACATTGTAAGTAACAAGCAAAGAGAACAAGTAATGATGTTCATGTGCTTTTGTAATAATGAGTAATGAAATTCTCCTCTTTGAGTTCACATACTGTCAGTAAACAATATGTACATAAATGTACAAGTACACATGTATACATGTACAAAGGAATAAAATCTTACTTACTATTTATACTGTTAGTAATTTACACATTGTTATATATTTGTCAAAAATACTGTTGGTTTGTCCATTACTTTAAGCTTTGGTTTGCTTTAATTTACATTTCATTAGCTATCCGAACTGCATGGCAGTATTCTCAGTTTGACTCTATAAGTCTGTAAACTATTACATTGAACCTTAAGGCAGGCTACTCTATAAAGAGAAGTCATTTAATTCACCCACCTTGCCTTTACAAGAGTTTCTCTGGACATTCTAGCCAGCATATCTGCAGTGTCCACAAACAGCATAGACTGTTTGTCCAAAATTGTTGAGATGGCCTTAAAGTAAACAAAAAATGTCAACTTTGAAATCTACTTTTTAAAGTGGAAAGTGGTGTAAAAAGTTAGTGTCAAGCCCTGAACTTTACTGTAACCAAACAACAAACAATAATTACTATGTGGTTGTACAGTACATTCTCTGCAAAAAATATTTAACTTTAAAAGTTACCATGATATTAGAGTTTTGAAAGGCTTTCAAGTAATGTTATAATTATTATCAAACATGATAGACCATGTTTGACCACATTTCCAAACACCTTGAAGAGAGTTGAAAATACATGTATAGCGCACAGCAGAGTATTTTTGAAGAACTTTGGGTTGTTTTACATATAGTTTAGAAAAGTGATCAAACACTGTATTGATTGTTTGATATATCTTCTCAATCACAACTTGAAGTAAAGAGGAAAAAATCTATGCTAATTAAGATCAGATATCCAAACACCATCATGGTCATGACTGCCCTTGTTTAAACTTGATGAATAATTAATCAGTTTGAGAAGTAAAATATCAAACACGAAAGACTGTGTTTGACCACATTTCCAAACGCCTAGAAGAGAGTTGAAAATACGACATGTTGCAGAGTATTTTTGACAAACTTTGAGGTGTTTGGAAATGTGGTCAAACACTGTCTTGAGTGTTTGATATATCTTCTCAATCAAAACTGTTGTTGTTCGTCCTTCGTAGTCGAAGATGACCAAAGACATCTAGTTTGTTAATAAATTTCTACGGTGTGTCCGGAGGTGGCTGATGAGACCAATCCGGGCAAGGAAGCCTCTCCCACAGGTAAGGCAGAAACTTGATGAATTATTAATGAGTTTGAAAAGCAGATGAAAACATTGAAAAGCACAACAGCTCTGGTTGGTGGTTGATGTGCAGAAAAGTAAGTTCAATTTTATCTGTTCAAACTCATACATTTGAGTCAACTAACCTGGCATTTGTCCACTCGGTCTGCACTTGCTGCCCATTTCACTAATGCCAGAAGACGAACAAACTGTTGGCGAGTTCGACTAGCAAACTGTACAATTTCAATTTTTCTAGAAGGAACAGAAAAGAGCAGTAAAAGAATTTCATTAGCCTTTTACTGTAAAAAAAATAATGATATCAGATAATAACTCCACTCATCAACTGAACACCCCTGATATGCTCACCGATTGCAATGACAGTCAAAATAGTCAATTAAAATGGTTTATCTACTATGAGAACAAATTTGTAGCAAATTCTTACACTGTACAAACCTTTCTATATCAGATTTCCTTGGTAATCTATAAAGGAAAGGATTAGGGAGTTACCTTTCACAGTATACATAAAAAATTGTACTGCAATTTATCAATAAATATACAAACATATGGCGCACAAGTGTTAATGATATGCTCAGTCTGATGCAAACATGAGACAATTCAGAAAGTTTACACTTTCAAATTAAGCCAAGTTACAGTACCTCTGTGGGCAACTGTAAAAAGAAAGTGATCATTTTCTATTTGTAATTCTGAAACTGAAAGAAAACATGAATTGACAAAACTGAAGAAAAAAAAAGGTAAAAATATCTTAAGAAAGTTGGTTAATATATTTGATTATCTTTTTCTCAGCTCGTGAGCGGGCGGAATTCAACAAATACTGCAATCTGATTGGTTCCTGGAGCGGGCGGAATTTTCTCATCCAGACCCCCACAGCGGGTGGAATCTGTGAGTTGATCTATTTTCGTGAACGAATTAGCGGTAATCGTAAATCTTTTGCCCATTTTACACTTCCATAGACGATTAATCAATGCAAGTTTATCTCTATTCACCTTTAAATGGCAAGGAAAGACACTGTAAGTAAATTCAATTGAATTTTTTGAAGTTGTGAGAGTTTGTTTGGCTGTTTGTAGCTCGGCGCTGTAGTGACGCGTAATCCTGTGTGTCTCTCTCTGTACAATTTTGCATAAAAAATGAGTCAATTTCAGTCGATTCAGTTAATTTCAGTCAATTTTAGTCAACCACCAGTTCGCCAGAATAAGAAATTCTCAAGTGTGTGAAATTGTAACATCATTTCTACCTTTATAAAGAAACCAAATTTTCACAAAAGAAATTGACTGCCACTCAACAGCTTTGAAGACCAATGCAAGAACAAACTAGGCTAGTCACCAGTGCTTTTCAGTCCACAAGGTGACTCCATGTAGACTGGTAACAAGTAATGGCATCTAGAAACCAAATCAACCATACAACCCCTCTCTCCTCCGGAATTTCCTGTGTCTTTGATCCCCCTACCCCGACCCCTTCCGCAATTTCCAATTCCCTCCATAGTGGAGGTATGGATATTTTAAGGAACCACACAATTAAGATGTCCATGTACCAGCCAAGAAGTTATTCTCACTACCCCTTCCCCCATTTTATTTATTTATTTGTTTATTTATTTATCTATCTATTTATTTATTTAATATTTAATTATTCATTTATTTATTTATTTATTCATTTATTTATGTATTTATTTATTTATTTATATATTTATTTATTTATTTATTTATTTATTTTTAACCGGGCCAACCTAGGGCCAAGTGCAGTTCAGGTTCTGCTCGTGGCTTTCTCTTTAGTGTTGTACATGAGTAGACCAAGGCTTCACCTCACAGCCCATTAGCTCACTGTAAGTGACGATCGGTTATTTGCCAGAAAGATTTTGGGTGGATGGGGATTTTCATTCTGCAAATTTTTGTTCCACACATTGTAAACAGATGTATGCTTAGAGAAAAAAATCCAAATAGAACAGGCATCACACTGTAAATCACAAAACAAAATGCATCTGGACAATAAGAAAGGCCTAATGCAACAGAAACATTGAAAAAGGAACAGTTTAACTTACAGTGCTGCTTTTTCAGTGCATGTAACATGAGGTTTAAGTCCAGCGGGTCATCGTTTTAGTCACAGGATTCTCCGTTATAGACCGCTAAATTCGTTTTAGCCATGTGGGTCTTCGTTTAAGTCCAGTAGATGAGGGTCTTAGGCCGATCTTTTTGGGGTCTTCGGTTAAGAAACACCTCTCTTTATGATGACATAATATAACTCGAGCAGAAACCCACATTAAAGAGTATGGTGGAATTGTTAAGAGTAAGAGTATGTGAACGGAGTTCGGGAATATAAGCAATATGTGGTCACAGAAATGTTTCAAAGATTCTTTAGTTTGTACACAGTAAAGGTGTTTGTTCCAAAAATAAGTCGACTGAGGGACCTCACTCAGAGCAAGTTAAATATAACGAGACACTAACCACTGAAATATCAGTTGAAAATTAAATTAGTTAAACGGCAAATAGCTACACGCAACGACATCCGGTGGAAATCTAAATTCCTTCCTGAGTGCAATACAGATGGCTGTTTTTCGACGCGTAAATAAACCTATGATGCTATTTAAAACATCCTGAATACTCACAGTTCCGATAGCACAGTCAGATCGTGATAAGTCTTCTGTAGAAGGAAATCTATCAGCATAGAGAGGTTGATTTTCGTGCCACCTGGGTCAGGAGGCCCTTCTATGGGCGCCATCTTTGCGCCAGTGGAAGATTTGATCGCTGGCTCGTTCCCAACAACATAACATGCGTAATCTTGCAGTAATTCCGTCTTCAACATGGCGGTCAGGTGATTCTGTTGATCAACTGATCTTGTTTCAGAATGTAGTCTACTTGGAGTTTGCACGCCGGAAATGGCCAGTAAAGAAAGTCTTGGAAGAGTTAGACATTTTAATCTAATTTCGCAGCAGGTATGTGCTATTTTCTGCCTGTGGATCTATTCTTTTTCCACAATTATCCCTTTTGCCCTCGCTCCAACGAACATCGAACGATCTGCATACATGTCCCACTCAATGACTTCGATCGGATTGCGGTCTCATAAAAGTGGCTCCATCAATGTTGTCATTAGCTAAGTTAATTTTTTGTTGGAGCTAAGTATTAAAAAATTGTTAAATGCTTTTGCGCACACATTTCCGATCGGACGAATAATATTTTAAAGATATCTTCATTTGTAAGCTTAAATTAGGTTGCATATAAAAGAAAATCAAATGTAACTTAATCCAGGCGATTTATTCAGTCAACTGTTCAAATATTATATTATGTCACCACCCTCAAAACAAACAACATAATTGTGATCAATGGAATAAAATTAATATCAATTGTTATTTACCCACGTGGAGGTACATATCCGTGATTATTTAGCGCTATCGGCAACTAGATAACTTAAGTATTGTCTACCTTCCATTACCAATGGGTTGTCATTTGTCTGAAAAGTGAACAAGCTAGAAAGGTGGGGGCAATTTACAATAAATTTATTGCAAACTTTAATTTGGATCACTTACATATTTGCTTCATTTCAACATGGCCTCCTGCATCCACATAACATTAATTATTTATGTTGTTAATTTACTTTGATCTCTCTCTATTTTTTTTAATATACTTTTTTTTTTTAAATTTCTATTGTGTGTTTTTGGTGTTTTGGTGTTTCAAGGGTTTTCCAACAGTGTGTCAAATGGCATGGAATATTGTTTAACGTGTAATTTGTAGGTATTGCATATAATAGGCAGCTTTACCAATCTTGAAGGATTAAACAGAGTGATGTGCACTCACGGTATGCATTGAATTATGCAAACATTCTTCCTCGTAAATATTTCTTTGACTGCAAAAGCAGCAAGATATGCAAAAACAAGCAGTCTTAATTAATTGTGTGTATTGACCTACAGGTCAAAACTTGCACAGAACATTGTTTTTTTTTTTTTTACTTCCACTGCGGGGGTTTCATTAAGGTCTGGGCTCCGGGCAAATTGACTGGCTATGAGGACAGTTTTGCCCACCTGGTTTGACCATCTACATGTAGCAGAACGTTTTTCTCACAAACAAGTTCAGCTCTAATATCTTTGCCCACCTGTGAAAACCAGCTGCCCTAGCCTCCTGCTGTAAACATTTATGAATTGAACTCCTGCCTCCACATTTGTAGTTTCATTATAAGGCAGAATAGTACAGAACAGCCCAAAAATATGAACAAAAAAAAAAAACACAGCTAAACAAATTTTAAACTTCTTGTTGGATCTCTAAGCTGTCAATTTCTTGCCCCTATTTATAAGTGGGGCACTTGCACGTAAATCCAGTAATGGTACTTTGGCTCCATGTTTTCCACAGCTCCGTCTAAGACACCTGAGAAGTATCTCTGTACGGAACATTGTACCAAAATTTGCTCTATCTGGGGATTGTTTGCTTGATTCTTTGCNTTGTTGTTGTTGTTATTGTTTGTTTTATTTTCGAGAACGTGAACCACTACGCAGGCTAATTTGTCGTATTTCTATTTGGAACTTAATGCATTTGCAGCAAATTCAGCAGACACTGAATAGATTTCTAGATAAATACGAAACTCTGAGGTTAATTAGTAATACATTGTCTACTTGGCGTCGTCGTGGCTGTCGCCATCGAATATTGCGTAAGGTCTCTGTAATATCTCGTATCATCATAGACTGTGGATTAAGATTTACCTAATCTTATGAACTTGGTTAATCATTATGGTGTCCTATTCTTCTAGTGACTCGCATAAATCCGCACCTCTTACAATAATAAGGAAGTCTCCTTTAAAACGCGAGAAGAAGCGACCTTCCACTTCAGGATCTGGCGGATCCTCCGAATCCTCTCCTTCTAATCCTAAACTAGACGACGTGCTTCTAAAGACGATGAATGCCTCGACATCCGATGCGAAATCTGCCGCACCAACGCCAGTGACTGCCGCGCAACTTAATCAAATGCAGAATGTAGAAAATCCGGGTAACAAGGGAGACAATTCGAACTCGCTTAGTCAGCGTAGTTTAGGTGACTTGCCAGAAGAAACTATTGCAGTGGATCAAACAGACAGACCTGTTTCAGCGCCGCCTGTAGACACCGCCCAGTTGCACATTCCTTCGCAAGGAACAAGCCACAAGTTTCTGGAACAACAACGAATTAGAAAAGCTATTAAACACGAGGACGATGTTAGCGTGAATGCTAAAGCCCCCAGAACACTATCTTTTAAGTCGCGTAAGAACACCAGTTCAGAGAGACACAAGTTACTCAGACGAAATAAAAGTGTTGATGGAAGTCATGTAGGGAAAGGAGCTCGACCGAAAGTTGCGGAAAGTACTGTTAATGACTGGATTAAAGTTGACGTAAAACGTGATCGCCCTAGTCTTGAAAAAGCTTCAAGTTTAAACCAAGGTAAGTCTAGAAAATCATTTTGGAGGTTAGTGAGGACAAAATGCTTTTTAAATACGACGCGTTGAACTATGAAAGCTACAAAAATTATGGTGTGTTCTGCCCTTTGCAAAGAGTCAGAGTCGAGATGATAATTGCAGAAATAAATTGCAAGTCGCAAGGCTTACGAATCTGAAAGCTGACCGGGCTCACAGTGTCGTGTTCTTGGGCATGACACTTCTCTCCATTCAGGAGTATAAATGGGCACCGGTGAATTTTGCCCGCCCGCCGCCTGGCTCCGAGACTTGGGGCAATAGAACAAAGGAAATTAAATTACTCATCCCTCAACCTCGATTCGATTTCTTCTAGTTTGTTTTGTTCCCCTAGGCCTCGGAGCCGAGTTGGAAATTTAATATATCGAAATTGGCTTGCTGCAAGTTCAGTGAATCCTGTTCGTTCAGCTGACTTGTGTAGTGTGTAGTGGGTGTCAACACTAACAAAAAGTAAATATATAAACAAACAAATAACTAAATAAATAAGTAACCTTTATTTACCCTCTGCAGCAAATAACTGAAAAAAATAATTCAAATTCAACATAACATTGTAAGAATCCAAGCTGGCTGGAGGCAAACCAGTTAGCTATTTACAAGAACAGAGCTCTCTTGCCACGCGTTCATTCACTCGCGCAACTAAGAAGCAACAAAATCAGAGATTCGACACAGATTTTCTCTTTCTTTCTTTCTTTCTTTCTTTATTTCCCAGCTACCTTTTGCCTCTGTTTCAGGTCGGGTCCTCGTGCAATAATGAGTTTGATTTGCATGAAAGAGAACCTGTAAAGGGAACACATTTTCATATGAATGGTTTTGTACGAAGACTCCTTTTAACACAGAGGCAAAAGGCAACTTGCAAATGGCCAACTGAACGTTGAAAAGTCGGCTTCCTCCAATGGCTCTAACATCTTTGTTTTCATATGACGTCATCGTCGCCATATTGGTTGACATAAACATTGTTTGTGTCATCCAATATGGCCGCCAGGCCTAATCTCTCCGGATTGGTTGGAAACCATCAATAAATTGCAATGGATTGGACTGTACTGCCTGAACTTACTGGAACTTTCGTCATTTGTTTTGTTTTGTATTGTTTTGGTTTTGTTATTTGTTTGTTTATTTTTTGCTTTTGTTTTTTTGTTTGTTTATTTGTTTGTTTGTTTGTTTTTTGTTTTTGCCAGGACAAAAAGTTCCAAACATAACTGTCATTTATGACATGTGTATATGTGTAATTGCTAATTCCTATTTGCTCATTCTTTTATAGCCATCTACACGAGTGAGAAAATCAAGTATTCATTAGTGAGTATATGGAATAAAGTATATAATGTTCACAAATATTAGTTTAAATAGTATTCTGAATATATACTAAATAATTACTAATTATAAATAATAATTATTAAATGCATAATTAATTATTATGTCTGTATACCTGTGTTGTTTAATTAGTGTGTTGTGCCTCTTTTGTTTATTAAATATTATTTTTAACAACATTTTAGGCCACATAGGAAGTGCCAACAATATGTGAATCAGTCAAAGATTTTCATTATGCATTCATTCGATATGTTATTCTTCATCACACATTGTGTATTTGCAGACAATGAGACATTCCAGCTGTCACCGTGACCATAAGCTTGGATTATTATTTTTAATTGTAATTATGTTACCTAAGAATCCTTTTTACCATTTTAGAATCCAACATGGGCAAGTTTTGAGCCATCAGCATGGACAGAACAGCAATCCACAGCCATGTCTTGTATCCTTTATATTTACATATATTAACAACTGCCTCACAAAGTGGAGGTTGGGTGCCTGAGGCATCCAGGAGCTTCGACCATGGGCAGCCAGCTCCTAGATGGAGACTGCTCCCATGGCTGGCAAATCCTGGCAACCCAGCCATGAGTCTCCACACAGAAGGGAGAAAGTGGCCACCTGTCACACTGATAAAATAGTGGAAAGAGAAGGGGCAAACAGGGGGGGGGAAACAACCTCTGAGTGGAGTGCCCGCGCTTGAGACTCAGACACTCGAGGAATACGCTGACCAGCTAAAACTACTTGAACACCAAGAGTATGGCCCAAGAACACATGGAATCCTGGTGCATGCACAGATCTAAACGCCACTGACTGCAAAGAAAAGACTTTCGCTCCTTGTTGTTAACTCCATTAAATTGCATAAATTATATTAATTGTGTGTGTTTTCTGTGGTAAAAATAATTGAATTTTACCATTTTACATGTAAGTGTTTTACAATCATTACATGTACAGTATATATGCACATGTACCATACACATGTACCATACCTTATTAAAAATTGATTTGAAAGAGAAAGAATAAAATTGAAGTGAAAGAACCTTTAAAGACCTAAATTTTCAGCAACTTTTTGTTGCTTTTGTCAAACTCAGACAAATACTACAGACAGCTGTCAAAAATTTATTTTTTAGGAAAGTTTGAATTTAGTTTTTGTTTGTTTGGTTGGTTGTTTTTAAACAATTACAAGCCTGCAAATAACAGTCGGTCATCAGACAATTGTCCGGTAAATTTGAGGTTTTGACAGGTAAAGGCTTAGTCTGGTCAGACAGTCTGACCAGGCTTTTCTGCTAAAACGAAAAATATTTTAACTGGAAATTTGTGACCGAATATGAAACAAGTTATTTTATTATACTGCCACACAATACTAGAGAAAAAAGCTTTGTTATCACAGTTTCATTTTTATTCCATTTCTGAGAAATAATTCTATCGTGCGCAGTGCATCGTCCCAAATGTCACGTCGAATTGTAAACGTCATGCTTTGTAGACTAGTCACCAGTCACGACTACTTCCAATTTGAATTTCATGTAATCGCGCAAATTTTTTGTTCAATTGACCCCAAAACTTTTCAGGGGAAACTTGCCTTCGGAAAAAGTCGAAGAATTCATTTCAGCCAATTTCCAAGTCTCTGAATGCTATTGTGAGTTTTCATACTGACAAGCTGTCTGCGCGGGATTTTCCCGTGGTTTTCTGGGAAACTTGTTATGTGGGAAACTACGGAATACATGTGTGATTAAGTGAGTGAAGGCAAACTAGGGGTACAAATGTTTGTAAATTTGTCAATTTTTAATGGTGAAAGAATACCTGACCTAATGTAAAGGTCCCCTTTCTGTTGCTAGTATCAATTTTACACTCAATTGACTTTGCAACATTTTGGCAAAGGGTCTACACTGACATACCAAAATGTCTCAAATGTCTCTTATTTTTAATTTCTAACAACAGAAAACAAATTGTCCCACCAGACTGGCTTGTTGTCCGGTCAAAACTTGTCTTTGGCCTGACAAATGACCTGCTTATAGACAAAAATTATTTGCAGGCTTGCAATTATGTCTAACACACATTATACTGATTGCCCAAGTGACAAGTATGGTACCGTACATGTATGTTTTAATACAATGCACAACATACATGTATGTACATTCAAATGTACTTTGTAAAAGCCTATGTTACACTTAATTCTTCCTTGACTCCAGATTTAGCTGTGGTGCTAAAGATATGGGGAGGACAAAATGACAAGTTCAGACTCATTATTGATTGGGAAGTTCATTTCCCTTCCCTGCAGTATCTTGGAGATCAGGTAATTTTGACTGTAAAAAAAAATAATAAAAATACCTTTCAGTGAATAAAAATGAAATAAAGTAACAGGGTATTAAGCCAAATGATAATTCTATTTTAATGTACCAGAATATTTCATTAGTTTTTTTGCTTTGGTTTCATTTTGTTCTGTTTTCTGAATGGTGCAGGAAAAAGAAAGAGAAACTCAGTCGTAACCTTTCGTAGTAACTGATTAGAAATAAGATGAATTAATATATACTACAGTAACTGTAGGTTGTCTTAAGTAGAACCCTATCTGCACCCTACAGCACAGTAGAGTAGAGTACAACACAGTACAGACAGCATACATGTAAAGTATAGTAGAGTATCATTGATATATTAGTTGTGCCCCAATAGGTACATTTATGTTGTAGGTCAATTTGTTCTTTAGGTCAGTTTGTTTCAAACTAGGTTAATAGTAAGAACTTAGATTTATATTTAAAACAAAGGTTTAGAAGCCAGGTGTAAAAAGGTTATAAGACAGGACTAAATGTTTGCTCATCAAAAGTGTAGTCTAGATCTCTTTCCATACTCTGGTAAATTAAAATACATGTACTTAATTCAAATTGTAATTGGAACAAATTGTAATTTTTTGCTGTTGTTATTAATTTGTAAATTATACAGTTGCTGTTGTGCACCAAGTTATTTTACTGGTATTTTATTATTCATCTATTATTCAGGTGAGGTCCAGTAAGTACGGACACAACACTGTAATCTTTGGTCTTATTGATGGGTACTATGGTGCACCTGCTGTCCTGTCGTCAGACAAGGTGAGAGGGTAGTGAATGTCAAACTAAATCATAACCAAATTTGTTAATGAACTGTTAAACAAATCTGTCTGTGGATCTTTTTACTGGTGTCTCATAGAATTAATCACACTGCCATCCGGGCTTTTCAATTGTGCTGTAAGTTGATATTTCAAGGCTGATAGTGTGGTATAATGTGCTTTTTCTTTGTCATTTTAGGTTGGGAACAGTGGTGAAATGCCAGTTTCACAAAGGACTGACATCATTAAGGTTGACTCGGATCAGGTACAGCTACTACTGTGTAGTCAGAAGCCCAGATTGGGAAATACGTGACTTGCAGCCCTATCACTTTTATTGCTGGGATTTATTGTATTCTCTAGGGCTCCAGTTGACATGGATTAAATATGGATTTTTCTACTTGAAAGTAGCCTTAACATTTGTTTGTGTTGGCCAGATTTTTTTACCCTTACCACTTTAAAATGGTCTTCGGGGTCCCTGTTAGCTAATTAATCCATGGACTGTGGTGAATGCAGGAGAGAATCAAGGGGTCCATCTTCAAAAAACTTAAAAGTGAAGTTCAAATACATGTACATTATTTTGTACAAGTTGGCAACTGGTTCCTTTTTCATTCTGAATCACCACATTTTATCCAAGTAGATCATTCTTTGTTAATGATTTTGAAGTACATATAAGCCTCTTCTTCTTTTAATCTTCCTTGCTGCTGCCTCTCAAAGGCACTGACAGAAAATCATGTGAACTGTTAGCGTCCAACACCCCATCCTCCTCACCCACCACTCCCCTCCCCCCCCCCCCCCCCCCCCCCCCCCCCCCCCCCCCCCCCCCCCCCCCCCCCCCCCCCCCCCCCCC